AGTTATGATAGTTTAGTTATGATGTAAATACAAAAAAATTAAACCAAGATTTAGAATAATAATTGTTATTTTGATCCATACATTGGTAATGTCTGACTGGGCCTTGTGTCACTTTATGTTCAACAAATTGGGCCCCGAGGTCAAAAAGGCTAAGAACCCCTGCTCTAAAGCATAACCAGAAGGATATTTCTTTCTGATAAAAATGAAATGAATAGTTCTGGTTCCACAGCTTGCCAAAACACATGGATTTCATATCTCTGCCTGGAAGCACATCCCTAAAATCTGCATCACCCATCTGCCGCTAACTGGCCCACTTCCACAACCCTTCAACCATTCCTGGTGCCAGAAATGGACAAAACCCTCCGCTTGCATTCAGCAAAACCCCCAACTCTTTGCAGAAAGGATCACAGGCCGTCCTACTGTATCACTTCAAATCTAATTATTTATACAAAATAAATAGCTTGCTTTTGAAACACGATCTCTAGTCTAGTTTTATTTTTGATAAAGAGTTTGGTTGTTGATTGTCAAATGACATACACCTGACTTGGAAACAGTTACAACAAGATGGTTTCAGCACCAAGACTGAAATGTTGTCTTGACGTGCCYAGGTCATCTGTCGGTGCTCAGATAAGGACCGGACCCACTGAGGTTTGGAACAGTATGTGAGCCTTCAGAAGCTGCTTCAGTGATATGAAAGTGGTTTACCTACACATACTGCTAACAAAGCTAATTATTTTTGTCCAATTTAAAAAACAAAACAAAAACTAAAAGTAGAAGCAAAACAAATWGTTTTATTTGTTGTAAAAACCCAGTGGAGTTCAATGAGGCAATGAATCCACATGAAGAGGAGACATAAGCAGCTGTACATGCAGTCTAAAGGGAAACAAATAACAAAAAAGTGTTGCTGCATTAATTGCTTGCTGCACTTTGAATCATAGGAAACCCAAGAAGTTTATGGAAAATATTAATGTTATGAACTGTTTGGTCTAAGTTTTATTACCTATATAAAGGCTGTGTTTTTTTATGTTTGTTTGTGCTGCTGCTCTTCATTATCTCCTGCTGCCATTAAATGCAGGCAGTCTTGAAATTACCTGTGTGTTTGTCTGTTAGCAAAATATTTCATGAACCACTGAACAGATTTTAATGAAACTGAAGTACTTAATGGATGCWCATCTACAAGTGATTAACCTTTTAAGTCAACCCTGCTCAAAATAGCCACCGCACCTAATTAGTCTTTAAAAAAAGACAGAAAAATGGTTTAAATCAATAATTTTTAGTAAGTAAGCAAGGAAAGGCATTTTTTTCTCCACAAAACACAGTAGGAAGGACAAAGTGTTTGAGGGAGTTGGAGCAATAATGGCAAAGGCTCTGTCAACTTTAGCTTTTAAGGACAAAGGACCCTTGATCAGTGGAGTTCAGGGTCCGTGTGGTAGCTGASAGTCATTCTCAGCACATCCTCTGAGAACTAACAGATTGCAAAAAACTTTTGCTTAAACTTTGACATGCAAGACAGCAGGTGATATGCATTCCTTCAAGGAATGCTACTTTCATTTACATTTGCACTCAAAATGTTTTTATTTTACCAGGCTACAGCATGATGTGCAGACTTACTTCATTTATCATTTTATTATAAGGTTTCCCAAAGATTTTAGGAGAAACTATCTGAAAAACTTTGTGTATTTGATTAAAAAATGCATTTGCTATTGCAGTAAGATTTCTGTTGCATGGTCCCTGTATTGTTTTGTGCACAGCAGGTCATGCAAATTAAAAGACAGGATTGAAAGAAAATTGGAAAATTATGCGTATTCGTTTGCCTTAACACATGTTTGTAACCAGATGGAAAATACACCTATATTTGAATGTTTTAATGTAAAAAGAGTTCATACAACCAACCAGCTGCTGGGACYGAATTCACMGGATTTATTACGATCTCCGTGCATTCAGCAAAGGATCCAGGAAACAAKAGCWGYGTTTCCATTGCAAATGTGTGTAAAATTTTGTCGATATTCTGTTAATGTCGAAAAAACACAGTTTCACAACTGCAATGTTTCCATTAAGTAAGAAATGCTATTAAAGTCACGTGAATACGTTTGTTCTCATGATAAGTCATTACAAACATGGCGGCGATGGATGTAAACACATAGCATGTTGCTACCACGACACTAGCGCTCATCATCAGAGGAGACGTCGGCGTCTTTTATCGAGGCTTTCCAGAGACAAGTCCCTACTTGGGAGCGGCTACGTATGCTGTGTTTTTGGGAAATTGTAGTCGGTGGGTTTACTACTTTATTTTACTACTTCTGTGATATTACTACTACTTCTACTTCCTGTTATCTTCTTCATCGTCGTCTTTTTCACCAGTAGAAACAGCCGGTTGTTGATCACGTGACTCCTGTGATGTGAAAAACGTGTTTCCATTGCATTTTTGCGAAAAACACCAATTTCGATACGGCCAGAATACCACCTCTTCCTAGCGCAAAAACTTTTTTTTAATTGRCTAGTTTCCCATTAAGCAAATTTATTTTCGAAATTCTAATTTGCGCATTTTCATGGTCAATGGAAACGCAGCTAATGAGACTCTTATAACCTTCTTCACGACCTGACTCCGCCTATTTTCACTGCGTCATTATTCATGGCCAGCCTACAGGTGAAATCAGGGTCCTCATACAAATTTCTTGTTCTAATGTTAAAACAACGGTTCAATTAAGTGTTGAAAGTGTTTTCAGGCATGTATCTYACCTATATGTACCTCCAGTTCTGTGTAACTATCTTTGATAGCCACTCAGACCAGGCTGTACATAAAATCATCAATGTAATCACAAAAATAATCACAGGATAAAGATAATTATCCACCAGAGAAAGGACTACAGAATGTGTGGTGTTTTTAAAAATCAGTAGTAAACAAACCCCAATAAATGTCCTCAGGATGAATATCCCATATTTGCACTAACTGCACYAATAACTGCACYAATAACTGCACTAATAACTGCTGTAACGTACAAGCTGTGATCCCAGATAACATGTTGAAGGATTTTTATTTATTTCTTTTTTGCTATATTATCATAATGATTGGCATTTCTTGGGACATTGTGATACAGAATTTCAGGCTGTAACACACCCCTGTTTTAAACATGAAAACAGTTTGCCATAACTACGTAACTACTTCCATAACTACAGATGGAAACTAGCTTAAGCTAAATCTGGTGCAAATCATTTTATTTAATTATTGTTGCATTTTGCACATTTTTCCTGTTAAATAAACTTTGAAATAATGGTTTACACGTCTCAGATAATGTAATTTCAACAATCTGTTAAATCAATCATTGAGTAGAGAAGGCCATTTTATCTCATGAGGTAATGTCAAAATTAA